AAAGACAGGTTTACTGCCCATTAACAGATACACATCTTAAGTAATTATCAAACTACTCTCCATCCTTAACCAACTTTTATTTTATTTACTTCCCAACAAATAACAGGAAAAACAAAATGACCACCTTCAAGATAATTACAAGAAGTCATATTTATTTCTACATATAGATGTATACCTTTGCATATAATATATCATTTACTAGAACAAACACATACAAGCAAAGATTCCACTGAAGTTGATTCTCAGCAGTAACAAGGTACAGACATTAATAACTAAACAAAAGTAGAAAAGATGCAAATATATTACATTATAGGCTGTACTTTTATAAAAGTTGTCTTTTGAAAAAAATCTTCTTAAGTTTTTTATTTATTTATTTATACCCAACCCGAAGAAAATCGGTGTAAGTATAAAACAATGTATGTCAGAAAACAGGTTATCTTGTATCTTGCATTTAACGATTTTGAATGGTCTAAGCACTTTTATTCTCTAGCTGGTCACAGTCAGTGAAGTCATTAAAACTTTCCAGGCACCAATACTCAAAAGTTCTTAGAGCTTTGTTGACCACATTATGGAAACAGAAGGTAGAATTTGTTTTTCAGTCCAAACAAAAGTATTTTCTCCACTCTGTTAATAAACCAGTTTATCTGCATTGTCACCGCAAAGTAGCAGTTCTGTGAGAAATTAGAGTGTCAGTTTAACACAAGGAAATACAGGATCAGTGTCCAACGTCTAAAAGTGACAAGAACCAACTAGTTTTGAAATGGACATGTTAACCATAGACCTCCTGTAATCAGAACACAAAAATGTACTGTTTCCTAGGCACAAAGCATTATTTCATCATTCCCAACAACATAGCTCAATATCTAAATAATCTTTTTCCTCTTCAAAGCAGTGGAGGCTTTTCACGTTGCCAAGATCGTTGACATTAAAGATGAAACAGAAAGCAGCCATCTGGTTAAAACACACAGTACGCACATATGCGTGAAGACACTCATGCTCAACTCTTTCTCTCTTGATTAAACTCTTGAACAGTAGGAAGCATTTGCAAATAATTGCTTTTATTAACTTAAAATGTTTCTGTTCTCGAGATGGTAAATATTACAAAATATGGTTAAGGCTTATGATTCTAACCTCATTATATATCCCTGTGTGATGGATGTCCCACAGTTGGATTTACTTTTCCCTTTGACACTGAAGCAACGCACTTGTCTCCATGATCCTTCCAGGGATGGACAAGCATAAGCTGAACCCAATTAAGATATGTCCCAATATTTCAGGAATGTGGCAAAACACCCCTCTAAATACGATTAGCAGACGATCCGTTGGTACCCGTTTGTTGTTGAATTTTTACCCTGTTTGTCATTGTTACATTATATGTACAGAAAATATTTTGAAATGGAGATTCTTTGTTTTCAAACATAAAAGTAGAGAACGGTAAAAGGAAGGGTGCAAAAGAAATTATAAAAATTATTTTTTAAAAAGAAAAGCCTGCTTAAAGAAGGTTATGCTAGGGTAATTCTCAAATATAACAGTTTAGTCATTTAAACTGACTTGAAATGTATCTGTTATATTCCTAATGTGTTTGCTTATTCACAGTGAAATATTTGATAATGCATCAGAGGCAGTCCAAAAAAGTAGTCAAAATTATTATTCAGGTTGAATGTGCTTACTCAATGAGCAATTATGGATTTAATACCCAAGATTGGTTATTCTTTCAAATTTCTTCCCAGAATATTTAAAACTAAGTAGTTCTGCTGCTTTGTAAAAAAAAAAAAAAAAATTGTCATGTTTATGCATGTAAACAAATTAGGTACAAATATTTGGTAATGAAATATGCAATAGATTAGAGAAACAAATTATTCCTTCCACCTCCCCAATCTACAGTACGTATGAATTCTGTTTTTTGTTTAATCCTCACCCAAGGATATTTTTCCATTGCTTTTTAGCTAAAGAAGAGAAAGATGGAGAGAGAGAAACATCCATGTGAGAGAGATACATCAACTGGTTGCCTCCCGCACTACCTTGACTAGGGTCAAGAGTTGAACTTGCCACACAGGTATGTGGCCTTGACCAGGAATCAAACCCATGACCCTTCAGTCTAACCACTGAGCCCAATGGGCCAGGGCTAATTCTTTAGTTTTATTTATTTATTTATTTATTTATTTATTTATTTATTTAATCCTCATTCGAGGACTTTTTCCATTTTTTTTTTGTACAGACAGAGTGGGAGGGAGAGAGAGGAAGAGAGAGAGAGAGAAACATCGATGTGAAAGGGACACATCGAGTGGCCGCCACCCGCACGACCAACCAGGGCCGGGGACAAACTGCAACCGAGGTACATGCCCCCAGCGGGAACCGAACCCGGGTCCCTCCGGACCGCAGGTGGATGCTCCAACCGCTGAGCCAAACAGGCCAGGGCTAATTCTTTAGTTTTAAAAAAATAATAATATTTTGTGTGAATATGAAGCTTACACAATGAAGTAAAGGCAATATGCACCAAACTCATCTGTTGCAACAGGTATAAGAAATACAATAATGTATGTGTAAAGTGACACTCACTGAAGGCAAAAAAGAACCCTCCATGGTTTAAATTTTCCATAAGAGAATGCAGTTAAGGCAAACTCTCCAGTGTAATATTCAAATGATTTATGTAAATTGTAAAGGTCTAATTCTTTGGTCCATCCATCCCAAGTGAATTTTAGTGTAGGTAACAATTTGTACTACACAACTGTCATTTGATAATAGTAATCTAGCAGTCTTGAAAGAGTTAAAATCTTCCAGTCTACAAAGTCATCTGTATTCTGGAAAATCAGGTGCAACTAATTAAATTTTTTCGGCAGAAAAAAACATAATTAGCTAAAGACTTTCTCATTATTAATACTACAGTGAGAAAACCGGTGATGCTATCCTGAATGTGTACAAGTTTTGTGCAACGAGATTTCATTAGAGAAAATCCAGGTCTCTGACTTGGATCTTTATTGGTTGCTTTTTCATTGTCGATATTTTAACTAGCCAGTTTTCTGATGACAGTGAAAAAAAAAAAACATTTCAAGATGTTATAGTTACATAACTGATTTCCAGGTGAGATAGTCTACTTGGCAGACAGTTTTTAAAGGGCGCAGTTTCAATTCAGTATCTTTGCTGTTATACTAAATTAAGAAATAAAATTCTATAAAGAGTAATCATACTGTACAGTTAGCAACAGTAATTCATCCTCAGCATCAAAAAGTATAATACATTTCAAAAAGAGTTCAGTTCACATAATTAAGTTTTTTAAGGTTTGGTTATCTAAAATTTGGAATGTTAGCTTAACAATGATCTCTGCTCTTTAATGTTGGTTCTGACCAGAATGTTTACACATAAATGACTTGATGGATAAAGTCTGAGAGGTACACACACACACACACACACACACACACCATCACTATCACCACCACAAACCATAATTTAGTGTTTCCCAAATATGCTTCATAAAAGGAATTATCAGAGGAACCTTTCCAAATGATGGATCCTAGGACTTTCCAAGGAGATTCTGATTATCTAGATATAGAGATATTAGAAAATATATTCAGATTACTTTTTCTTTTATGTATAAAGCTGCAAATCACAAACCCATTCTAGTATGAGATAGTTTGGTTAAAGACCTTTGAAACACAAGAACACATCACTCTAATTTTCCGCCAAGCACGCTATGTACCAAACCTCATAGTCATCCCAAATAGTTATTTGAGGTTGATGAAACCATAGTTTACCTATTTTTTTCTTCTCCCTAGACTTTCAGTATTATTAGGGCAAATCAAATACTGAAGTGAATTATTAAAGAATATTGTTTTGAGCCCTGGCCGGTTTGGCTCAGCGGTTAGAGCGTTGGCCTGCGGTCTGGAGAGACCCGGGTTCGGTTCCCGCTAAGGGCACGTACCTCGGTTGCAGTTTGTCCCCGGCCCTGGTTGGGTCGTGTGGGTGGCGACCACTCGATGTGTCCCTTTCACATCGATGTTTCTCTCTCTCTCTCTCTCTCCCTCCCACTTTATCTGAACAAAATATCGAAAAATGTCCTCGGGTGAGGATAAAAAATTAAAAAAAAAAAAAAAGAATATTGTTTTGAGATAGCCAGAGAAGAAAAACTTTTTGATTTAGATATCTACTCGCCCAAATAGATTATCAATCTAAACCACATTCAGTGCTGTATCTAAAATTCGACAGCCTTTGATTCTTTGTCATGTCATTTTTAACTGAATTGATTAGATGATAATAAATTAACAGAGATCCATTCAAAACAACTAGTCAGTGACATGAAGAAGAATAATATTCAGTGACAAAATAAGAAGCCAAAGGTCTAATAAGGTCACATAAAGTTTTACACGTAGCTATTGCTTTCAAATATCATGGTTGTAAACAACGGAAAAAGGACTCTACCATTTCAGATTTCTTAATCTGTTTCAATGTGCAACTTTTAATAGGGAGTGACAAACATTTAAGATCATGACTATGGCTACCCAGTGCTAACACTGCCAACTGAAAACTTTGTAGTCGTTGTCATTGAGTTAATAGCTGATTTATTTTTAGCCTTTCCTTCTGCAAAGAGTCACTCACCATTTTGTTCCGTCTATTCATTATAATTAAAACACAGCATTTATTTTCCCATTAAAAATCTTTTAAAAGTGGAGGAAAAAAGCATTTACTACATTTGTGGCACAATTTGCAGCTAAAAAGGTTCACACGCTTTCCCATTTGAATACAATCAACACTTTTATTTAAAATTACCGCCTTCTGTCGCTGAACCATAGTCTTCAATGCACGTATAACTCAATTTCTCTTGGTAAGAATTAGACTCGTTCAAAAGGTGTGGGACACATTAGCTCAGAACGTATAGAAGCAACTTCGTCTGACGGTATGTTTTTTCAACCACAGTTTCTCTAGACATCTGTCGAGAGGAAAGCAGACATGAACACTGGCAAGGCCTTGAGCGGGGTTCCCACCTGGCCGGGAACGCTTTGTTTTTACACGGAGTCCACCTGTACTAGGTTATTGTTGGTCATCAATGGCGAGGGTTTGCATTTGACCCTATCTGCTCCCTCGTTCGTGCTCTCGGCGAAGAACATCTTGGCGGTGCACAGGGAGACTATAATTCTTCTGTATTCCTTCCTGAAATTCTGGTTCAGCACTCCATAAATAATTGCGTTGAGGCAGCTGTTGAAATAGGCCATATAGTAACTGGCCACAAAGAGCCACTCGGGGACCCTGGGTACCATGCGGGCGGGGTCTGAGGCCACGGCGAGACCGATCACGTTTAGAGGCGCCCAGCAGATGGCAAAAAGCACGAAAACCACAAACATGCTGACAAAGTTCCTGAAATCCTGTGGCTTCAGCTTGGGTTTGCTGTCAGGCTTCACCCTCCGTCTGACCCGCAGAACCAGGACCCATATCCTCAGGTAGCAGAAGACCACGATGGCCATGGGGACCAGGAAATGGAAGACCACCACGGCGATGGTGTAGGCGGAGCTGGTGGACTGCGCGAAGGTGCAGGAGTAGACGCGCGGGTCGTACTGCAGGCTCCCGATGTGCAGGTTGGGCGCGATGGCCACGAGGGTCAGCGTCCAGATCAGGAGCACGCAGCAGAGGGAGTTCTTGTTGCTGTACAGCCTGTCGTACTTGAGACTGTGGCAGATGTAGCAGTAGCGGTTGATGGCGATCCCGGTGATGTTGAAGATGGAGCCGATGACGCTCAGGCCCATCAGGAAGCCACTGACCTGGCAGTGCAGGCTCCCCAGGTTCCACCCGTTGTTCAGTATAGAGGTCAGCACCAAGGGGTAGGGATACACAGCCACCACCAGGTCTGCGACTGCTAGGCTCACCACAAATATGTTCCCTGCAAGGGAAGGATGTAGAAAACACAGGTTACTGCCAGTGTTCCCTGGAATGCACTGTTTCCTTTCGCAGTTAACAGCTGAGCTGTTTCTGCAACGCTGAGGACCTGTCATCAGAGGGACTAGGGGTTAAGAATGAAGTGGAGGCTCATTCCACCGCAAGTGAGCCCATTGCAGCCCTTGTCTGTCAATTTCATGGCTCTCAAATTCCCACGGCCCCAGAGCAAGGCATAGTCCATCTTCAAATCTGTCATCTTTCAAACTGTTTATTTCCTGTGTGCTATACAAAATCTTGAGTTCCTATACTCCAATCAGATCTTCGGTTCTAGAATCTTCGACATTACCTGAGAGATGTCCTGCCATTTCTCCAGCCAGTCATGGCTTCCTTAAGTTCCAGGACTTCTACCCCTCTCTAGTTCTTCACTGGTTCTCAAATGGGCCTCTACTTCCTGTTCTTGGAGAGCAATGGATCCTTGTCCATCAGGTAGTTGTTAAGAGAAAAAGAAGTTCTGTCCTTGGCTATCTGAGTGGTAATATTGGCTTCAGTGCTTACTAGCTATCTCCCTGGGGCAAGTGACATTATCTCACCAAACTTTGGTTTCCTCTTCTCTAACATGGAAATGAGAGGCTTCGTCATGGGGCTGCACAGTGTCTCTCCCGTGACAGTGATCGATAAATGATGCTGGGATTCTACAGCTCTCACCCCGATCCAAAGGAAAAGGCAGAACATTTTTTAGATGTATGAAGAACTGAAAGTACAAAGTTAAACCCTAAATATTCAGAGTAAGTGATAATTTTCTATATGAATGTAGTAACACAGCACATCTGAAACTATAAAAGAAGAACTCCAGTCAAGTTGCATGAGACACCGGCTAGTTCATTCTTTGGTTGAGTGGCTCGTTGCTTTGCTGCTATTCCTTGTGCCTTGAACAGCCTTTTCCAACTTTTAAAAGGCTACCCATTTCCCCAAATCCATCTTAAATAAAAAGTACCCAAAATTTTACTTATTTGCCCAACCTCATGGAGAAGCTCCCTCTTTTAAAGGCTGCTAGATTGCTTCATTTATACCACTTTAATTTAGATTAAGTTATAATAAATTCCATTCGATAGAAACTTATTAAGTGTATATGACAAGTGCCGGGGAAACAGGAATGAACATACAGGGATCCTTTGATCCTTGATCTTAGATAAACAAACAAAATTAAAACAGAGAGAAAGAAATGCAGCAACAGTGTGTGCAGAGAGAGAAAGGGGGGAGGGACATGCCAGGCAGAGGTTTTGCCTTTTATTATATTCACTTGTAAACCTGGCCTTCCTATGTTTCTATCTGGTAGGCCCCTGAGCCTGTCTTCCTCAGATTGGTATTCTGAATAGGACCCAGATGAGACTATTGCTCAGATGCTTGATGAAGTAAGTTAAATTGTCATCTCCCAACATCTGAAATACAATGGCCTTTGTATCTGAAGTTTTTGTATTTTAATTTTTATTTTCCCCAAAAGAACATTGCAAATAAGTGAAGTAAAATAGTTATGATGAAAAAAGGCAAGGTTTTGCCATTTAATTAGGAATTTTGGATAAACTGTCATAAAAACAACTTCTTTGAAAAGAGGTTATACTAAGCCAAATTAAAGCAATAAAAGCAAATTTATTTTTCCTACAGATTTATTTCAAATTTCAATGAAATATGTAAATTCCGAAGTCATCATATTTTAATAAATTTTAACTCAACAGATTTAATACCTTAAAAATAAGTATAATATATGAGGGTGGGGGAGGTAGAAGAGGTTATAGGGGGGAAATGGTGATGGAGACTTGACTTGGGGTGGTAAGCATACAATACAATATACAGATGATGCTTTATAGAATTGTACAATGAAACCTATATATAGTTTTATTAACCAATGTAACTCCAATAAGTTCAATAAAAAGTATAATATATGAAATTCAGCTACAAATTACATAGTCATCAAACAGTACATTTTTTACCCAGAATCACAGGATGCAAACTGTCCCAATACAGATATATTTTTGAAAGAGCTTACAAATAAAATCATGAATGATATCATAGATTTTGTTCATGGCTTTAATCCTCTGTTTCACTTATTTTGTAGTAATTATGCTTCTTTTCTGTTCAAATAATTATATTAATTAAATCATTAGTTTAATTTTCTTTGAACTAATCTCATTTACAAGTATTTGGAGAAAAAAATTAAGCCATAGACTCAGTGCAGATGTGGCCATCAGACAGATCCTCTGGGAGCTTTAGCACACGTGCTGTGCTGTGTGGAGCGTTGGGGGGGGGGGGTATTTTGCTTATCTTTTTCCCTCTTCTGTTACCTCTGTCATTTAATGCATATTACTAGTTAACCTTGCATCTCAGTGATTTTTTCTTTTCTTTTTTTATCCTCACCTGAGGACATTTTTCCATTCTTTGGTCAGGAAGAGAGAGACATCAACGTGAAAGGGACGCATGGAGTGTGCCACCTACACAACCCAACCAGCCGAGGCCAAACTGCAACCAAGGTATATGCCCTTAGCTGGAATCAAACCCGGTTATCTTGGAACCGCAGACCTATGATCTAATCACTGAGCCAAACTGGCCAGGGCGCATCTCAGTGTTTCTATTACAGGGTATCAATGGGGACAGTGGTTCAACTAGAATAATAATGAAAATCATGCAAAGATGAATAAAGAAACCGTGTTGTCTATTGGGGAATGGGTTAGTGTGTTGACAGTTTTACAAGGATAGTGGCATTATGTTAGGTAGAAGCATAATTACGTTTCCTTTATCTGGAAGTTAAGTATGGCTAATGTGGATATATATGCCAAGGCGTGGACTGTGGTGGGTTTGTGTTGTGTCGATTTAGCTAAGCTGGGATTTCCCCGAATCTCCTTCCCGGCACGTTAACATGGTGGAAGTGAAGCCCGAACCACATCTCCCCTCAAGGCTCAGCAGGCCCAATCAGGCGCTAGGCGCTGGTGCGGCTCTCTCACTGACTAGAAATCTTAGCTAGGTGAGAGTACAAGAATTTCCTATCCTGGGCCAGATTCCTACCTTTCATCAGTTATGTTGCTGTTTCTTTTTGTTGTTCTTGTTGCTTTAAATTCCACTCTCTACACATCTCACCTCACTTCCATTTGAATGACTGCTTGTGTATCACTTTGCTGCTATGTGAATTACAGAGAAATCTACCTCCCAATACAACAATTCTGCAAAGTTTGGGCCTTCAAGGTTTTCATCGGCGATGTTTACCTTTTTTACACTCAGGTAATAATCAAATCGGTGCTATGATTTAACCCAAGGAGAGTTCATTTCCTTCTGTGTGCTCCTCAAAATGCTGGCCCTGGGAACCCACACTGTGGCAAGCCCGTCTCTAGTCTGCTTCCGTGCCTTCTGTTTCACAGGCCTGATAGGAGCTGCTGCGAACAGCCTTCCCAGGTCTCCCTTGCCAGGCTGGTGCCTGTACCCCGGAGTGTGGGTGAGTGATGGGAGCTCACATTTGACTGAGCTGCATCCCTGCTCAGAAAGTGCCCTCAGTCGAACAGGGCTGATTGACCACTGACAGGGTACACAAGGCAGCCCTCTTGCCTCAAGTGGGATAACTCTGTGGTTGGATTTATGCCCAGAAGCCTCAGCCTCGTGGGTCAGGCCAAGACTGAGCCTCACCTGAGATCCCATCCTTGCTTGACTCTCTCCTCTGCCCTCTGTTCTCACTTCCTTCCGGTTTTTCCTGAGAGCCCTCCCCAGTGATGCCTAAGTGCCAGATCCCCAACCTTGCTCTCAGGTTGGGTTTCCAGGCAACCTACGATAGGTCTTCAGTTCTGTATGAAGCTGGGTAGTTTTATTTTCTTTTTTTATCCTCACCCGAGGACATTTTTATATTTATCTTCAGTTACTGATACAACACCTAAGGCAAGAGAAACAAAGGAAAAAATGAACACATGGGACTACATCAAACTAAAAAGCTTCTGTACAGCAAAAGAAACAACCATCAAAATGGAAAACGGAAAGGTTGGGTTGTTTTCTAAAGAGGCATTTCTCATGCTGTATTACTTTCTTCCAAAGATATGGGGCCAATGTATTACCCTCTAATAGTTATGCTTTGTCTCTATTCTTGACTAATTAATTTGAAGTTCTTTCATTAATTCTGCCTTATGATGTGTGCTGTTGCTTGCACATCTCCTCTATTTCATTCTTCCTGAAGTAACATTTTTTAAAAATTCTCATCACTATGTACTTTGAGCTTCAGCTACCATCATCCACCAACCTACTTTCAAATTTCTTTGGAGAAGTTTGTCTGCCATATAAACATGTTTCTAGTCATAATCCTTGTAATCCATGTGTCATTTTTATTCGAAAATTAGAGGATGAGAATTTTAGAAGTGCCATGATAAAAAGGAAACTTTGAAACCAGGACCCATATTTTATACAAGCTTAACACAGTGCCTTGCATTTTGACAAACAAACAAGAATTTGCTGACCATTTATATTCTGTCTGATACTGTAGGTATGCAATAAATACTAATCTACATGAACACTTAATTCAATAAGCAGCCAAAGTGCTCAATAGCAAAACAAGTAAGCATCCTTTTAAACCATAAGTTCAATAACTCAAACTTACCCTCAACAGCCTAAATAATATTTAGTACCAAGTAGATATATTTTCTCTTTCTTGTTCTTTTTTCTAAGACTAAATTCTTCTATATGATTGCCGAAAGTATATAGCTCTGTAGAAAAATTAATCTTAAAATATGTCAAGCAGAAAGTCCAGAAGTTTATTCACTTGCAGCATTACTAACTTCCACGAAAATGTCTTGAGATATCACATAGAGTGCTCAGGTTTCAGGTCAACTTGATTAGCCAACCTTTTTGAAAGGTGAACATGTTAGGGTGCTGATTAAGGAACCATCCTTACAAAAGGGAGTAGATGGTACTGATGACACCATGTGGAGTTCTGAGCATACACAAATGCTTCTTGAAAAACAATCCATTAATTGCCTC